ATCATTGCCCCAAGAAGATTTGGGCAAATCGGCCTGAAAAAGCATCGCGCGCACCTTCTCGATCAACGTGCGATTTAGACGCTCTGCCGACCCATTTTGCTGTGGCGTGTATGGAGCGGTGGTCTGATTGATAATGCCCCTATCCTTGTACCACGCCGCTAACTCCGCGTTAAGATACTCCCGACCCCTATCCGTACGAACTACCTTAGTCTTCTCTCCGCACTGATTTTCTAACATAGTCAGCATCTCCTTCACACAACTCGCCACCTGATCCTTTCGCGACAGAAGGCAAACAACTGACATACGTGAAAAATCGTCCAAAAACGTAGCAATGTACGAATGGCCATCACTGGAGGTGACAGGAAGCGGACCACACACATCCATATGTACCAAAGCCAACTTATTATCTGCACGATTTCCACTAGAACTGAACGGCGAACGTGACAATTTGGCCTCGACGCATGTGCTGCATACCGACTCACCCTCTACACGAAAGTCCTTCGCCGGTACATCGATCCCGGTGACCATACCACCGTCAACCAGACGAGCCAGGTTCCGAAAGCTCAGATGACTGAGCCGGCAGTGCCAAAGGTAGGCATCAGACACAGACCTGGATGAAAACGCATTGACTGGCGCGGGGTTTTCAGGCAAAATCATAGTACCCTTCAGGCGGTAAGCTCCCCGAGAATAAGGGAAGCTATGAGACCAGGTACCGTCGCTACTCCTGACAACAGCCTTAGGTGCCCGCAGAGGTGGACGAACCCTAACGGGTAGTGCACGGGCTGGCAGGAAACCTTCTCGCGAATTCCAACTCTCCCGACTATATGGGAGTCCTCGTTCGGAGCTTCCGTAGATCCCCAAAAATTCCACACTCGCTCCTTTCTCAACGAGGACACGGACAGACAACAAGCGGTGCTTGAATCCCGGGACATGGAATACTCCGGTAAATTCCAAAACCTCGTCCTGATCACTAAGTACGCGCAGATCCCCAAAACCAACTACACGAAGTCGCCTACCGTCCGCGATCTCAACGAACATGTCACCGTCGATCTTCTGGTAGTTCCAGAGGCACGTAGAATCGGGAGACATGTGGTACTGGGAACCGGAATCCAGCACCCAGCTGTCGAGGTGGTTGGCGCGGTCGATGTACTTGCCCCGGAGTTACCAGGCGACTTACAGAATCGCGCCTTATGTCCAGGTTTACCGCAGTTGTAACACTTAATGGCATTGCGAGATGATAGGGCGACGGCGACGGGATCCGTGGTCACGCTGTTCCTGGTTGCCTGCTCCACCGGCAACAGAATGTTCTCCAGAGCAGCTAGATCCGATGGCATTGCACCCATAAGCAAATGTTGTCGGGCTACCTCGAAGGAGTCGCTAAGCCCCTGTACCGCTTGCATAACGATGGTTTTGCTGTCTTTGGCCAAACCCGAACCTGCTTCCCGCATTTCACTCACAATGTCTTTGACGCGAAACAGGTACTCAACTAATGACTCGGAGCTGGCCATCTTCAGATTCGTAAACTTTTGGTGCGTTGACATCTGTCGAGCGCTGCAGCTTGCTGCGTAGCTGCGGTGCAAAGTGTCCCAAAGTTCCTTGGCTGTGTTGTAGCTCTCGGCATAGTCCAACACATTCTTGGCCAATCTCAGCGCGATCTCCGCGTGGGCCTTGCGGTCCAGCTCCTGTGCGGCGGCGTCGCCGGCGGGGACACCCTTCTCGATGACACTCCAAAAGCCCTTCGCCATGAGGGCTGACTTCCCATATCTGGACCAAGTGACGTAGTCAGATCCGTCAAAGCGAGTGTTCCACAATGAATCGATCACCATTTTAGAGCGCGGGGCTCATAACCTCTTGAAGGCTGAATGGATTTGGACGCAATAGTGATTGCCAGAGCGTTTACAAAGCGACTAACGGCTCAGCTCAGCCACAACTCACTACTCTAGAAGCATACCAGACCAAAGATAATCGCTGGCTCATTCCTATTTATTCACGAGTTCGACAGTCGATCAGCAAGTACGGAAGATGGCTCCACTCTATCCAGAAACCAAGCATCACGCAAGCATCAGGCGACAGACTGACCGGACAACATTTTCCTCAACAATTATGAGAAACGGTTTGTTAAACAACTTTGTTTTGAGAAAGAAAACTGTGAATCACGTCGAATCATACCCGAAGAGGCCCCCCCGGACCCCAATTCCGATTCGGGTCCAATCAGGTCCAATTCAGAGTCCAATTCGCATGAATCAACCCTGATTCGCCCACATGTGAACACGTCCTAAGGGTGCCCGGTGTCGGGCACGCCAACTGAACATCTTCCTGGCATCTGCACTTTGCATTTCACCGTGTTTTCTCTTTTATTTAATAACACCGCGCTGCGCCCCGGCCGCACGAGCTATGAGCCGCGAGCGCACCGCAGCTGCAAAGCGCGCCCGCGAGCCTGCAACGGTACTGGAGAAAAGAAAGCGCGCCCTTCCTGGTCACCATTCACTGCATGGCGCACCGGACGGACCTCGCAGCGGAAGTGCTCAACGTGGCAGCCATCATTGAGCGCATAGTCCAGCTGCTCACCAACGTGCACAGCCACTTCTCGCGCAGCTCGAAGCGCATAACTGCGCTCAAGCGGGTGGCGTCAGAGGCTGGCACTCGCGGCAACCGCATGCTGAAGAACGTGGAGCCAAGGTGGGTAATGTGATCGGGAAGGTTCGCGGGTTTTGCTAGTACTTTTGCCTGGCATGTTTGACTGCTTAGCTTACTGCTTGGCTTGCCTAAGCCAGGATGGATACCAAGACCTATACCTTGCAAGTCTGTGCATTTACAAATTGCTACATTTGTCCGACTCTACAGGTGGATCAGCATCTATCGGCCGCTATGCCGTGTGCTCGATGAGAGCGCTGCGCTGACGGCTTATTTCGACCCGGAGCGTGAGCGCCCTGCGGGAGAGGACGACCCTGACGCCAGGGCCAGCACCATCTACGCCAAGCTCACTGATTGTTGTATCCTGTAAAGGTTTTCTGTAAGCGGCGGCGCCTGGGCTACGACAGTGGCATTGTTATCGGCGGCACTGGCGATGCGGGGAGTAGCGGCAATGGTGACGGCGGTGGCCATGGCGCGGAGAGAAGGTGAGGTGGGGGGAGGGCCGTCCGGTGCGACCATGTGAGCGGCGCTCTGGCCGGCCTGAAGCTCGCGATGATGGGCCATTTGTCCTTTTCGGGGTTACACGGATTGTAACGGGCGTTGGTGTCGGCGTCGATGGGTGCTGCTGCCGCCGCACGCATGCACGCACACATCATACATGCTGCGTGAAACTTTAGGATTTAGTCGTCGCCCTCGCTCCTGTATTGCATGAACCCGTCTGCCAGCCCAAACAAATCGGCTTTATAATCATTTACGATAAAGGCATTTTAGGTCCCATCCGCCTTTCACCCCCTGTTGGGCTCTTCACCCGGCCACGCGACCCACCCCGGCTGCCTTACTACTGCCGCCGATACTGCTTCCGCCACCGTCACTTTTTCGATTGTACGGCTGCATGAACCACAGGGTCTCAGGTCTGTCGCACAATGGTGGACATGGTGACGGCGGCGACGGCGGCGCATTCGATCTCTCTCGCCAGCCAACTTTGAGTATGGGACTGGGTTCACTGGTCAGAGCGGACTCTGCTGCCTTCAAGCCGGACGTCCCTGAGGTGGGTGGTGGTCTTCGGTCCCGCACATGCCGTATGTGGACTGAACCACAGACAGCGATCATACTTGAACACGTGTCACTAGTCCCTCCCCTCCTTCTTTACGCCTTGGCATTACTGCTTTTCTTCCGCGATTATTTTAGTCTTGGCGGCTAGGTAGGTAGTTTTCCGACATCTTCTTCACTACGTCATCCCGAGGTCGCCGCACTTCAAGGACGCCGTTTGGTCAGTTCTACGTCTGGTACACTCTTTCCATGGCAGCAGCTTCACTCGTTCGTGGTTCGTCTTTCCCTCCCCTCCTTCCTGAACTGTCAGGCGGTGTCCCTATCCGAGATCCACGCCACTCCCTTCACGACGGGGCTACCCAAGGAGCTGCTGGCGGCCATTGCGGCTCAGGCGGCTGGCGGAGGCAGCGGGGGGGTCGCGGCGGTTGCA